ACTTGGCTCTTGAAACAGAATTTAAACACGATGCATCTAGGACTCTCTGTAATCTTGGGTTGCTAAGCTGGTAGAATAGTTCACTTACTAGTGTTTTCATTAGTAAAAAGAAAAATAGGGTGGGTTTTGTTTGGCTTTTTACAAAGGAGTGGTTGGGAGATGACAGGCATACCTTGTTGGTGCTTACACAGTGGTGTACAATGCTGTTTCACCCCATCTGAGGCCTGACTGTACCCCTCAAAGCTTCTGGTACCTTTCCCTAGATGCCTCTCAGAAGATTTTTACACAAGATGTGAAATGCTGAATTTCCAGCTGATTCTGAAATTATCTCTAAGCATCCTGCTAACGTGATGCCTTAAAAAGCAGAGCCCAGCACCAATTTTAGCATCTGGGACATTTGCAGTGGAGGAAGGTGTGGGGAGGGAGGAGCTGCTGCCTTTGGTTTCTCTTGTTTCCTTGCTTGTTCCTTTTGTGGGGGAGGAAAAATACTGTATCCCCCTCTGAACTTGTTTAATTTTTATGGAAAACTTCATAAGAAAGATGAAATTCAGCTCCTGGGTAAGTTTCATAGATCTGAACAGATGGATTTTGATAGCTACACAGATCACAAAATTAAATCAACTTTATTTCCATTAAAGTAGTACAGAAATTATCTTAGACACATTAAAAATAAGTGTGTAGTGCAGATTTCTGGTTTAAAGCCACAGGATGTTTCTGATTTTACAAAGTAGCAATAGGCCCCTGTCTTGTAAGGGGGTAATGGGACAGAAGCTCAGATTTGCATGTGGCTGATCACTGGAAAAGCAGATCATTTCTGCTTGGGGGAGGAACAAACAAAACCAAACACCGATGCAGCAGCATTCATTATGTTTCCATCTGATAGGGAACGGGAGCTCAGTGCAGAGGAATACTTCAGCTGGAGACTGAACACTCAGCCATTTCACCCTTCATCGAGTCATTTTTCCTTGTGTGCATTTAAACACTGATCTAATGCAGAGAGACTAACTGGGAGCATTAATTCAGCCTGTTCCAGGAGAATGACTCAAAGCCTGAACTTGTGCTGCTGGATTTCCATTTCACTGACACGAGGGCGAGGAGCAGGGGAAGCTGCCTGGATATCAGCAAGGATGGAGGGGCTCTTTGGATGGGACGAGGATGTCAAGAGCAGTACAAGAAATTCTGTTTCTAAAAGACCCAGAGACCTCTGAGGTTGTGCCTGGAGGTGTTGAAGCACCTGTAAGCAGTGTAGGATCTGTACAAACCGAGGCTGTGCAGCAGAGATGGTATTTGGGGGAGGGCAGGTTAACAAGCTTCTGTCATCAGCCAGTGCTCATACTGAAATATGATTAATTTAAACCAAATCATCGTGGTTCTTGTTCCATCAACAAAATAAATCAGGGACTGCTGAGTAGCACGATTATTCCAATCCCCTCCTTGCCTGGAAGAGTCACAAGCAATTGCGAATGGAAGACAGTAACTTTAAAATAAAAAATATTAACAGCCTCTGGCTGTGTCCTTGTGCAGAGCAATGGCTCTGCCTGGTGCTCGCTGTCCCTCCGCAGGGAATTCAAGTTGACTTCACTGCTGCTGTTTGACATTCTGTGAGTTTTATGATACCTGTTACCCTAAATGTAATGTTTGCTGAATTGCTTTGCTTATGCCTGAAACCTGGCAACAAATGGGTTTGGAAATAGCAGACGTAAACCATAGCATTTGGGAGATTGGCTGTGGAGTACAGAGAGGGAACGGGAATGGGAATGGGAACGGTGCTGGGCTGTGCCCGCTGGCCTCCTGCACTTCAGGACCAGTGGAAGCTTGGGTGCCTGGGTGGGTGTGCTTTAATGCTTGGAAAATCACCATGAGTGGCAGGGATGGAGAAGAGGGTTAAATGCAGCATTGCTGGAGCATCTGTCTTTGCTCTTCCTAGGTGGAATTAAAAGCTCATAAAGATGGAGTGAGACAGAGCTGGGCTGTTGGGAAAGCACCTCCTCTGGAGGAACCTCAGCTCCTCATCAAGCAGTCCCTTCTTGTTCCCTTGTGGAAGACTGAGGTGGTACCCCTTGAACTGTCTGACAGCCAGAGTTTCTGGGATTGCTTCCTGCAGACACAGCTGAAGCTGTCAGAGTTCACTGGTGACATCTGATTGGGGGTGGCAGCACAGCCAGATTATTTGGTTGCCAGGATAATTAACAAGCTCAGTGATGACTTTGTCTGTGCTGGTACCCTGCAGCCGTAGGTAGAAGTCATCCCCAAGTGCCTCCTCCCCAGGCTAATAGAGCTGGCCTGTGCCAGCCAGTGCAGGTGTGCCAGCCACTCAGTGCTCACTCACCTGCTCCTAGAGCAGCATCCTGGGCCTCAGGAGAGCTGTGAGCACTTAGTTATGGGAAGGAGCAAAGCAAATCTTCCTACAGTAGCTAAATACCCCTGGGGACCAATATGGGTTTGTATTTCTCAGCTCTGGCCTTCTGCCTCATGTGGGATTTAATCATCCAGAATATCTGCTCTTTGTCCACCTACCCCGCAGGATTTTTTTGTAGTCAGTTAAAAGCAGTAATTAATTTCCCAGAACAGGTGTAAATGGACCCATCTTAGTATTAACAGTAACAAGAGTTCAGAGATATCTCTATGGAAATCCATTAGGCTTCACTGGGTCATCTCTTCCATTAAAGTACAGAGTCAAGGGAAGTAAACAAAATACTGGTTTTATATTAAGGGCACTGTATGTAAAAGTAAAATAATGCAAATTAATATCTTCAAAACCAGCAATTGAAAAATCTTTATGTAAAACCTTACAAGAATTATCTTGCTATAATTGCCTTGGACGAATTCATCTCACAAGAAAACATCAAACTGTTGTATAATTGCACCCTAAATACCTCACTAAGTGGTAATACAGAGAGAAAAGCAGAGTGAAATAGCAAACGGATTTTTGCGCAGTGGTTTTTCTGTTTAAAAAGTTTGCAGGATAGTTTAATACATTTAGCATACTGTAATTATGGATTTGGTCAAAGTATGGCAACACTGGGGAATTTCATTTCTTCATCGGGGTGTGCTGGTAATTGTTTAACACTGCAGCATTGGACACAACACATTTTTTTGTTATACATACATGTATATATATATATATATATATAAAATAATTCTCCATCCCTCTGAATCTTTTAGCTTTGGTTAGAATGTTTACAATATTTGAGCAGTTGACTTAAAAATAATGTACTCCTTTGCAGACCCCCCCACCCCCCACCCTCGTGGCATCTGAGTACCACCATCACTGCATAGATCTGCAAATATTTACATATAATTCCATAATAGAGTATAAATAGCAATATGGTACTTCTGGCTAAAGAAACCAAATTACCCCTTAGAATGAGGTGTATGTGTATATATATTTATATATGATTTTTTAAAAAGTCATACTAGTTTAAATTCTGTCCCACATTGAGTAAGAAACAAAACATTTTTCAGTGAACTATTCTATAAACTAATCATGTTCTCCTAACTTATCAGAAGGGGTCTTTTTTATCTTGAATTTTGGAAGAGGAGGACAAGTGAGAGCTTATATTACAGGGGCTAATTCTGTCTCCAGAGAAACCAGTGGAGTTAGTGCATGAAAATAGCTTCCTAGCCAGAGGAAGCCTCAGCTGGGGGGGCAGCAGGGGGACAAAGAGAGGCTTCTTCCTTCCTTCCTTCCTTCCTTCCTTTCTTTCTTCCTTCCCTCTTCTCCTTAACCTTGCTGTTGATATTTGCTTTTAATTAAGAGAACCTTGCATTAAGGTTATTTACACATGAAAAAGTGCTGAAATGCTGTTTGTTCATCATCATTAAGTAATTAGCCTGAATTCATGAAAAGCATCATCAAATGAAACCAGGGAGCCGAGGACTGAATGTACTTAATATTTCCAATCGATCCCAGTGTGCTGAGCCTCTCTAAAGAAGCTGCAGTGCCAATCTGGGGACACACGGAGGGCTGTCCTGCTCCTGGGTGTGTGTGCCCATCCTGCTTGGGACTGTGTGTGTGTGCCCATCCTGCCCGGGGCTGAGTGCCCATCTGTGTGTGCCCATCTTGTTCCTCTGTGTGTGCCATCCTGCTCCTGGGTGTGTGTGCCCATCCTGCTTGGGACTGTGTGTGTGTGCCCATCCTGCCTGGGGCTGAGTGCCCATCTTGTTCCTCTGTGTGTGCCATCCTGCTCCTGGGTGTGTGTGCCCATCCTGCTTGGGGCTGAGTGCCCATCTGTGTGTGCCCATCCTGCTCCCGGGTGTGTGTGCCCATCCTGCCTGGGGCTGAGTGCTCGTGTGAACTGCTCCTTTCTGTGCCTGCTGTTCCTTTCAGCAAGCTGCTGAGCCATGAACATGCACAGAGTAAAACTATTTCAGATAAATTCACCCCAATGCACTGAAATTCCCACCTGGACCTTTGTTGCTCTTTTTTTTTTTTTTTTTTTTTTTTTCTCCTTTTTCTTCTTCTGTTTTCCCTCCCTTCCCTTACTGGAGTGAAATGCTCAGAGGAGGAAAATCTTCCTCCTGGGCTGCCCTTAAAGTGCCCGGAGCCAGCTGCAGTGTTTGGGATCCTCCAGCTGCAGTGGAACAAATGGAGCACACGTCCCCCACAGATCCCTGCACAGATATCCAGTCTCCTTCCCCTAAGACTGTTTGCAGTAGAAAAAGTAGAATATGGAGACTTGGGTATAAATGTTTACACACAGTCATATAATTACATAACATGAAACATTTCACATAGTTTGAGGTGAGCATCTCTTTAGACTTTAAACATTAGGAGTGCAAGTTGAATGTAATCATTGCTTCTTTAACACTGAAAATATTATGGATTTATTTTTTAAAAAACTTAAAAATACTGCACCACTCCATAAACAATGTTTCCATTAAGTAGCTTGGAAAATTAGGCTTTATGTCAACATTTGTAAAAATTAGAATCTGATGTAGGTCCCTACAATTTTAAAGTAGGTTACTTATCTGATTTGCTTTGTGATGGGCTGCAGGTATTATACTTCACATTCTTTATAGGGCAGCTGCTGGCACTTGCACTGTCCATAGCCATTGATGATGATGAAGGGTCCTTCGTGGGTGGGTTCGTACTCGTTATAGGGTCCTTGGTCTGACATATTGGCCATATGCAGCCGTGTTTGGGATCGGAGCTGCCTGTGGTTTTGAATCATTGAGCACTGCCTAATTCTTCTTAGTGTGGGAGGGCAGCACTTCCTGGAGATGAACACTATAAAAATGATAAAAAAGAAAGAAAACAATAAAGCCATTGTTCCTGTAATTACCCTCTGAGTGAAGATGGCATTGTTTGGCTCTGGGAACTGTTCTTCAGTGGTAACGACCATGCCTGCTGTAGTTGGAATCTCTTTGTCTCCCACATGGAAATGAGAAGAGCTTATTCTTTTCGTGTACTCGGTAGTTGGAGCTGTGTACGATGTCGTAGCCACAGGGGTAACCACAGTCGATAAATTCCAGCAAAGCTGAAAACCATACACTGCGTCCAGAATATCCTCTCCCTGGGTGTGGTCGGGGCTGTGGCAGAGTATGGAGTGCTCCCACCGACCTTGGAAGCCACTCAACCATGTGGCCAAGGCGCAGATCTTTGGGCTGCATTCCCACAGATTGCCGGAGAGGCCCACGGTGGTGAGGGATGTCAGTGAGCTCAGGATCTTGGAATCCAGAGTGGTGAGCTTGTTGTTATCCATGAGGAGGGTTTTAAGGTTAGGCATAGTTTCAAAGACGGTGAGGTCGATGGCTTTGATTTCGTTTCCAGTCAAATCGAGCTTTGCTAAGGTGCCCCAGGTCCACTCCATCCCACATGTCAAGTTGCTAATTTTGTTCCACTGCAAGAAGAGCGTGTGCAGGCTGCTCAGCCGGAGGAAGTGAGCAAAATTAATCTTTGTCAGCTGGTTGTGCTCTAGGTGAAGCTCCCTCAGCTTGATTAATCCCGCAAATCCATTGCGAGCCAAACTTCGCAAGCGGTTTGTGCTCAAATCCAGGAATTCCAGGCTACGACAGTCCCAGAACAGGCGGACCGGGATGGTCCGCAGGGAGTTGGATCGCAAGTGCAAGGTCTGTAGCTTGCGAAGGCCGTAGAAGAGCTCGGGGTGCAGAGAGGATAACTGATTAAAAGAGAGGTCCAAATTCTGCAGGTTAAGCAGCTGGCTAAAAGTTGTGTTTGGCAAATGAAAGATTTTGTTGGAACTTAAGACTAATTCCTTAAGTTTATACAGTCCTTGAAAAGAATCTTCTCTGACTGTTGCAATTTGATTATGATCTAAGTGAAGCCAAGTAAGTTGACTGAAGCTTGCAAATTGATCCCTTTCAAGTTCAGAAATATAATTGTGCCTCAGTGACAAACCTAGCGAGCCCTTTTCAGTGGTGTTTGGCACTGAGTGAAACCCCTGAGAGTCACAGTAAAAGAGCAGCTTCTCACAGCGACATTTTGGTGGACAAGCCATGCCCAAGGCAGGCAGCATTTTTAAAACCATACTCATTGCATATAGTGCTGCCAGCATACGAGCCCCTAATGGCCACTTGAAATGTAAGCCTGCAGAATATAATTTAGGAAAACAACAAGATAGGATAGCCTTATCAGTACACTTGGAATATCACGGTGGAAGATTTCACTGCAGATAACATTGCCATGCATTTCCAACAAGCTAATTCTAAATGCAAGAAACAACTTACTACGACAAACCGAATACTTGGACATTACACTTAGGAGGAGGCTTTATCTCGATTACGGAGGGTTACAGTGGCGCTATCGGAAAACATTTTTTCTTAAGGTTCAGTGCAGAGCAATCTGCTTTAGCATCTTAACTGCTCCTTTAAAGCAGAGCTGTCATTCATTATACAAGGAACAGAGAAACGCAGGAACTTACCCATTCTTTTGAGTACATTGGAGGGTGCATTCAGTCGTAGTTTGAGACTCAACGCCGTGAGTCTGTGAAAGGCTCTAATGTAAGACAGCCTTGAATAATTGACTGGGTTTAGTGTCCTTTGATATTAGTGCAAAATCCATGATGCTCTCTTGGAATATTCCTTTTGAAATTGCTGCCTTGATCTCCGCTGACAGGTCTGCAATTTTTAAATCTTAATACTTAAGTTTTCGTCCTCCGTGGCTGCTCAGCTGGTTAATTGAAGCTCACGTTTTCCTTTTCCGCAGCTGTGGCTTCCTTTAGTCCTAACTTGTTGATGGCAGATGGGTGGCTTATTGCTGAGAGAAGCTCCTGTAGTAGCATGAGTGCATTTACTGAAAAGCTTTTCAGGGAAGCGGTACAAGAATGGATTTGCTTATGCGCTGCGACCACACAGGGCTCTATATAGGCTGACGTCACCTGGTGACGTTCCTTTTGTTTGGGTTTTCCAGAAGCTTTGCTGTTTTAAAGCATTGTGCTGCATGCTGTGATCATGTTAAAGACCACTGATAGAGGGGGAAAAATCCAGCGGCAGGAGTCCTTCGTCCGCAGGACAGAAGGAGCAGGAGGGACTCGCAGCACCCTGCTCCCCCCACATCTGCACTGGCTCTGCTCAGCTGGGGTTAAAAGCAGTGCAGAGCCGCGGATGGAAGTGCCTGAGTGCTGCCTGCTCCCACTTTTCTGCTAAATCTCCCTGCATGAAAGGAACTTTTAGATGCAAAATGCGCAGAGGTTGAATAGAGGATACTGGTCAGCACCAGCTTGCATGGAGGTGAGAGGGATTGGGCAGCTCAGAGCTCTTGTGTGACAGCTGTGTGCGACTGTGGTCCCTGCAGAAGTGCAGAGAGCAGTGCTGGGGCTGGAGCAGGAGTATCAGGAAGTACAGCCCGGGAGCAGGGCACAGGAGCAAGCGCTTCAAGCCAGGAGAAATTTCTGGAAAAAGCAAAGCTTGCGTTAGGGCATAGGAAAAATCTAATTGGAATCCAGCTTGACAGTGTGTGGTTATGAAACTAGAAAATCTATTTTCTCCTCCCAAAAGGTGGCTTTTATACTTGCTTTTTCCTGGACAGTTGAGTGAGGGCAGAAATCGTGAGACTGGTATTTCCAGTCGGGGCTCTTGTGGTCACCCACAATGTCCTGCTCCTTTATGTCCCCTCAGAGAGGGGGGACACACCTCCAGGAGCCCCTGGCTGCAGGGTGGGTCTGTAACAGTTATCCTGTGGGTTTAGGGCTGCAGAGCTGTGCCCCTGCAGAGCTGCGTGTGCTCTACAGCCCCGCCGGGCTCCGGCTGGAGTGTGCACACACAGCCAGGAGGAGGACAGTGGGCTCTTAGGGCTGCTTGCTTGCTTTAAAGGTTCATTGCCCCCTTATTCAGAGCAACCTCTCCTGGGACTGCTGGTACTGAAAGGTAAATGACCAGCTTCAATTGACATTTTTATATATTTTTAGGATGCATGTGCAGGTAAAGCCTTTGGAGTCACTGCTGTGGTCATAGCTCGATGTGGGTGCAGCAGGGGGATGTTGGTTTCCTGCTCCAGACAACTTGGATAAGCTTTTTTTTTTTTTTAATTTTCTCTCTGAGATATAAAGCAGTAATGTAGAGGAGGCACTCGAAAATGTTTGCTGTGTAGCAGCGAGGTATCACCTCTTAACTTCCAAGATCTGGAACGAGCTGAGAATAACAAATTTCCCATGATGATGGAGCAAGATGAATTGTGTCTAAAGAAAGGTTCAAAATAAAATGGCTGTTACCTTTGTTATTAAGTGTGGGGTCCTTGCTTTGGTTCCTTGGAGGTCCTTGCTTAAACCAAGACCTGCTGTTCTCTGCCTGCTTCTCCCTTGGCTGTCCTGTGGTGGAATGGTGACACTGCCTCTGGTGCTTCCTTTTTGGGATGGGAAGACTCAAGGGGAGCACTGAGTGGAAAGTAAAAGGATGAAGGATGTGAATGCACAAGAATAAAATCTCAACAAAAGCTAAAGCAAAACAAATAAACCCTACCCTGAACCTATCAGGAAAGTAACTGTCTTTGATGATTAAGCAAATTAGGAAATGTTAGATAAATTTCTTAAATTGCTCAGCCATAGTAAATGTTTTCACATTTGCTCCAGTGTGAAATAAATCCATGCAAAGAAATTACATAAACCTATTTAAAGAGATTCTTCTTGTTTAGTGTTCAGGGTACAAAGAGCTCAGGCTCAGCTCCAGCTGTCCAGTGGAACCTGGGCTCTGCAGCACCTGCAGAGGGTTCTTGGAGCAGCTCTGTGCAACACCCTGATCCAAGGTGTTGGTTTTAATTCTAATAACATTTCAATATGTTACCATAACATTTAATAACAGCATTCCAAAGGGTATAATTTGAGGTCAACTGTCAGCTCTTTCCCTCTTACCAGGAGACTGAAATTAGGTATCGTTGGAAACATTTTGCTTTTTTGCATCAATATCTGCTGGTAGGTTCCTCCCACGTTAAGATTGTGTAATTTGGCACAGAGTTAAGAGTTAATGTTCAAACACGGTGAGTTGCTCCTTTTCTGAAGCTCTCCATTCTTTGGCCCTTAACCAAACAAGGGCTATTTAGCACCTTGCCAGCGAGTTTCCTGTTTAGGAAACTGTTAACGCGAACTTTATGGGCGCTTTTCTTAGCAAAACATGTTTTTATGTGCACTTGCTGTGAAATAACAGTTATTACCTCAAGTGTGCATCTCAGTCTCTGAAGTCTGGAACACTGCAGTAACATTCACATCGTTCCTTGGGAGCTGCCTGGAATGTCAGGGTGCAACAGACTGGGAATAAACCCCCAGAAAACTCATGCAAATGCGTTTCTGATTGCCCAGCATGAAAAACCATGTCTGATGCCACCTGGGCACTTCTGCCACAGCAGGTGCTTTATGGCAACCTGAACCCTCATATGCAATGTGGACAGGGAAATTGGCAGGAATAAGCTTGCTAGGACCAGATAACCCTTTTGAGGGCTTCTCACCTACCCTGCTCCTGGATCAGCAGCACAACTGGTTTTCCTTTTCTTGCTAAACCCATGCGCTGGGAAAGTAGAATTGCACCCTGAGGCGAGCGTTGTCATTTAGTTAGGCTGACATCTTGTGGAGGCCTTCCTAGTGTATTAAGAACAACAGACAAGCTAATTTTGCTGGATGGAGATGTGGGGGCTGCATGACTTTGCTGTGTTGGGGGCCTGGAGGGTGCAAGCCCTGGAGGTGCAGGTGGGACTGCAGCAGGCAGGACAGGCAGCCCTTGTGTGGCACTGCACAGCAGCCAGCTCACCCTTCTGCCTGCAGGAGTGGCCATAGCAATTGTTGCTGGGCGTTAGCACCTCGAGGACCACAGGAGCATTTGCTGCTTTTTGGCCAGAAGGTTGTGTTTGTGCTGTGTCACAGGGCTGTGAGGCAGGAGGTGAGCAGGGACGTGTGGGTGGAGTGTCACCGTACACGCTCTTGGATTTGCTGCCGTGGGAGCACTGGGCCCTGGGGGGGGGGACACACAGGACAAAGGCATGTTGGAGGTGACCCAGCAGCAGAGATGTGCCCAGGGCTTTAGGCCAGCTGCAGAGTTCTTTGGGGCAGGGCAGTGGGAGGGATGGGTGCTGAAGGTTAGGTGTCCTTGTCTTCATGGGAGCAAAGGGCACATGTGGTGGCATAGCATGGTGGCTGTCACCTCCCTGTCCAGCAGCTCTCTGCAGCTGGTTGTAATTCCTCCTTGTACCACGGTGAGTGCAGCAGCCACCCTTCACCTCTCCGTGGTGCAGCCTGGCCGTGGGGAGGGATGTCAGGGTGGCAGTGCTGTGGCATGGCCAGCTGGGCAGGGGGACAGTGCAGGCAGCTTTATTGTCATTCAGGTTCTTGCTGAAGCCAGAACAATGCCATGCAGCCCATTTGGTGTGCTGAGCTGTGGCAGACTCCTTCCTGCAGCAAACCAGGGCACAGTCCTACTTCCTGCACCTTGGATGTGAAAGCTCTGCTGGAATTCGTGTGGGTAACGCCTCAGTGCTCACACTGCCTGGCCCTGAATCAGCCCTGTGTAGCTGGAGTTGGTTGGCAGCCCTGCTGTCTCAGTGATGGAGGGTTGTGCATGGTTATTCTCTGTAGACACGGAATTAGGCTGGGTGGCAGGGCAAAACCAAGCATGGGACACCCGAGCCCTGATGTCCTGTGTCCCTTGGCAGCAGAGCTCAGAGGTGGCACAGTGGCACACTGTGACACACAGTGACACACTGCCTGCCCACAGGAAGGTGTGCCAAGCACTCACTTGTAACTTATTCAGCCCCCATCATTAACCAGGATGCTGCCTGTTGTACTGACAGTCCAGGAGTCAATTCCCAGACACCTGAAGCAGAAACCTCTCTGCCACCCATCCTTTTTGGTGGTTGTGGGGGCGGTGGCAGGTGGGACAGTGGTGGCTCTCAGCAGTGGCACATTTGGCTTCCATCTGGGTGCTGATTTGGGGAGGGAGCATGATGGGCTCAGCGGGGATGGTGTGAGGTGGTGCTGAGCAGGAGGTGCTGTTTCCCTCAATACCTCTGTGCGCTCAGCTTTACCCAAACTGATGATGAACATTTAAGATTAACAGCAGATGTTTGTGATATTTAGCTACAAAAACATATCTTTGAGTAGCTGGTTACAGGACATGCTCTGTTGATCCTGGTGGAATGCATCACCATCACCATGCCCCTGTACCTCTATAAATCACTCTGGATTAGATTTTAACCTCCATAGCTATAGGAGAAGCTTGAGTCTGTCTTTTGCTTGTCTGAATTCACATGGCACACCTACAGCAGGAAGAGTTTGTGACAGAAACGGTGATTCTGCTCCCCTCCCTGTGTACAAATCCCCTTTCTTTGCTTTGAGCATTAAAAGAGTCCCCTCTGGGGATGGTGGTGTGAGCTGGGACTGTAGGGATGTGACAGGGAATGCTCGTGGTGCTCTGCAAGGGGGGCAGCAATGGTGGGGGAAGAGCAG